TCTCCAATTGAAGGCTTTGACATAGAAAGATGGTTGTAAAATCTTTGAAACCTTGATTCACGGTGATTTTGTTCACAGTGATCGTCATTAGATGCGTAAAGGATAAAATGTTACGAATAAAGGAAAACAATTACGTACCCGCAAATGCTCACTGCTGAAATAGTAACTGAAATAATCGGAGAAAATTATCGAAGAGGAAAGGACTTATCGCGAGATGACTGTCCGGTGATTTACCTCTCGTAATGCACAATAGACGATAGAATCGCGCAAAAATTAATGGATGGGTTGTTATTATGTAGTATTCGGCTGTGGCGTTGCTAGGGGAACAATAACTTTTCACTGTCCATTGTCGATAATATAGTACGGCTGTGTTTCGTTTACTGATAAAGAATACTTTTTGACAAGACTGGATCTATAGTTGAATTATCAACTAACTTAATCTACGTATCTCTGAGCAAATTACAAGGGCTACTTGTAAGTAATAAATCATCTTTTCTCTTGAAAATTTTGACCAAAAAAACATCTTAGTAATTATTTTACATAGGAGACTGTAAGACGAATGATGGCTCGATTTTTTAATCCCATTAAAATCAAACGGGAACTAATACAATTAGTCTGTAGTTAGCAATTACAATGATGAAAAATGAAAGTCCATGCATCCTTGTGGTTTCCAAAATCAACCAAGCTATAAAGCCTTGCGATGCATATGTCCACCATAGCTGTACACCCATTCATTGGGAAGTATCCACTCGTTAAAAGCAAACTTGTAAACAAGTGATCCAGCGGGCTGAACAGTGACCTAAAGGAAAAAAGGTCCAATAAATATGACGGCAGACAATTAAGCTTTAGGCCCAAAGACCTGAGACAAGAAGAAAAGGGGCCCCAAACAGTCAAGACAAGGTAAAAACGGGCCCCAAAGAATTAAGACAAGATAAAAACGGGCCCCAAAGACTTAAGCCTAACAAGGTAAGAACGGGCTCCAAAGACCTAAAACAAGGTAAAAACGGGCTTCGAAGACCTATAAAACAATGTGACCAAGACTTTAGTAAGGAACTTTAAGGTGACCGGGGAACATGAATGGCAAATTGCTCGCAGTATAGTTTATCTCAGTTTTGGAAATTTTCTAGGGTACTACAACAACTGACGGAATTCATCGAGCCTTCCTCGAAAGTTTGCTATTCTACGCGGAGATCGGCAGTGTGATTGAATATTTTTCGCCTCAGTAGAGGACACCGTGGACGCAGCCAAGGTTTGAAGAACCAGGAGTTTTCATTGCTGAGTTCAGTACTCACCAGAAGGTCCCTGTGCCTCCCTTGCTCCTTGACCTTTGATTGAATTTAATTGTTACGAGTGTACCCTTATGCATTTGCCAGTACAGTGTTATTTGTTCATAAGCGAATCAGAAACAACGCTTGATGTTAAAGTATTTAGTTAAAAAAGAAAGTGTCGAACAAATTATTGTTGGTTCAGACTGTATGCGCATCTGAAGCCAGTATTAAAGTGGGATATTACTCCTACCAGCGCTAGTTTCCAGCTGTCAAACAGTCCTTTTTCATTCCTTCTGATACCAATTTTTGTCAGAGAACCAACGGCCTTTTCCAACAAAATGAATCTATCAGTGCTGGAAAAAAAAAAAAAAACGGATAGACATTTTAGACGGGTAACAATCAACTCAGGTTGATTGTTACCTGCTTTGGTAAAATTCGTTCACAAAAAAATAATGAGGTTTATAAACAAAGTAGTAACCTTTTAAATAGATAAAACGGCGCATGAAGCAAAACTGAATGGGCTAATGAATAATCAAAGAAATGAATGAATGCATATCCTTCCAAGACTGTCTTTCGAGCTAAAGCGCAAAGCGTCACTATTATTTATCAAAAACAGATCCCGCCAGGAACCTGCATCCTCCGAATAGGGCCTTATTTCTATGAGCTAATGCTGTGTCACATCGACATTCCATGCGAAGTCTATTCGTTGTCACGATTAAAGATGGAGGCTTCGTGGTCGAATTCAGTTGTCATCTAATTTCGGAGAAAATTTTCTAAACGTATAGTTACTCTTTGAAATTTCAAACTTCGGGAAGTTGCACTTTTTCAGTATATAAATATATCGGTTTTTAAAGCATAGTTTTCCTTTAAAAATGGATAACCTATCGAATCAGGCCCTCTGTTCTCGGGAATCGTAGACTAAAATATTAGTAGTACTGTATTTACTTTCCGCTTTCAAACAGGTTGCCTGACTTGGTTAGTTCAACAGCTGATGTGTTTCCTTTGACTCCAAAGATTTGAATAAGAACATCTGCATCGGTTCCTGTTCCCCACTCATCATCAGCAGTTGTCACATCTACATAATACAAAGCTGACGCAAAAGTCAGGTTAGGGTCAAAAGATTGACAGTTCAATGTATTATTTCTTTCTAGCCCTTGTGTTATTGAATTCATAGAGCAATGTTAGCAAAGGTTTCTTTTATTTGGATGATGAACTCCACAGAGATATTCGTTATCAGAGGGGAAGGGGGTTTTCAAATAATGCCCGGACGTTTTGGTAACAAAAATATCGCTAACGCGGCATAAAAATTGGCAAAATATTCAATCTCGTGATCTTTTCACAAATCCCCATCAAAGCATCGCGCTTGGCGAAATCATGTGTTGTAAAACGTCTCTTTGAAGAGCTCCGGCCTGCATGTGAGAAGCTTACTATTTACCAATGATTTCCGATTTGTGAGCCCATTCTCGGTAAAGGATTGCCACAGAGCTCACGAAGGAAATTTCCTACCGAGCCAGAACTATTTGGGCATGCTTGACAAAAAGGATGTTTTATATTCAAATATTTTTTTGAAGCAATGAAGCCATGCAAATATCTGTGATCTTCCAAGAAATTAGCATAACATAAATTCAATTTATGTTAAGATTTCAGACGCGTTGGTCTAAAACCGTTTTAGACCAACGCATCAACGAGACGCGTGAAGATTTTTACGGTAAAAAGACTTTACGCGTCTCGTCTATACAAGGAATAAATGTCAAATCTATCTGCTCGCACAGATGGTTTGAGGGAAAATTTAAGGTTTTCACGAAACGAAAGAAAAAATTCGTGGGTTGCATATATTCCAGAAGGCAAATCACGCCTCACGCTGATTCATAATTTAGGACACGGATGCCTTTCTGAAAAATTCACGCGTCGCAAATCAAATTTGGCCATAATCACGCTTCATACCGGGACAAAAAAATCTGCAACCCTCATGTATTTCATCTTATTTCTGACCAAACGTTCAAAAATTTCGTCAAAACGAGGACTGATCACTTTTAGAGCTGTCGAAGGAGAGACAACGAATAGTCACTTCAGAAATATTCAAAGCAGGTGATAAAACATCTTCACACCACGAAATTTCTTGTGTTTGTGCAATGATTAAAATAACAGCCTCTCCAATTTAACACTTGGGCATTACAGAACGATTCACAGTCTTTGAAATCTTGTATTACTGTGATTTTGTTCACAATAATCGTCATTAGATGCGTAAAAGGCAAAATGGTATTAATGACTGAAAAATAAATTACGTACAGGCGGGCAAATATTCACTGCTCCTTTATCATTGTTTTTCCACAGCCCTCGAATCTTTTATATTTATTATATACAAAAACTTACTACTCTTCCCATGCAATTATGTATATTTTTGCCACTGCTAAAAAATGCAAGGAAAATGGCAAAAAATTGTAAGTGGGGACAAAAAGCCATTTCCAAATTTCAGCCTGATAAATACCTGTTGTCGAACCACTTCTCTTGCTGATCTCACTCACAGATGGTTTCCCACCTCTTTTTAATCCAAATGTGTTACGTGTAAAGTACACCAGCACCAGGATAAAGCTGAAAAATATAGAGAGACGCACGACGCTCATTTTGCTAATACAGAGCCTTAATTTACAGACTAAGAGAATGTTCTACAGAACTTATTCAAAGAGGTAATGTTTGCTCTTGTTATAAACAGGTTAATTGGAGAGAGGCTGGGTAGTATTCAATTTTGATTCGATCCTTAAAAAAGTTCTTTTTAATCATTTGAGTTACCTTGGTCCCGTCCACACTTCAAAGGATAAATTTGAAAGCGCGGTATGTGGGCGTAACGTCCTCTCTTATCCGGAAAGAATTCTCCATTCTCCATTCGGATATAAAAGTATATATCGAAATTTAGAAAACCTTCAGACTCAACCCTTGGAAGAACTTAATTTCCTCCTTAATATCATTAGAATCTCAGAACCCAACATTTCAAATTAAAATCCTGTCGATTGCTGCCCAACAGTACCAGGCTATGCATTTGAATTCGTTCCGACACCTCTTAGCTTTGGAGGTGTCGGAATGATCTTTGACGAACCGCTTAATTGCTTGGTCTTAGAGAGAACCTTTAATGAGGGTTTTCAAGCCCTTAAGGTTAAAATTTTACTTTGCTGTGTCATATACTGACAACATAACTCTGCAGACCATTTTCAAAGCTATTTTAAAGAAGCCAAAAAGTCACTTTAATTAGGATATTGACCTTTTAAAATCTGAGACCTCTCCGCCGCAGAGAAGCCACGAGTTCTTGGAAGCTCTCAAAGTTGCTATCTCATTCTTTCCATTGATCAGCCAACACGTGTTCGGAATAACTTGTCCACCCTTATAGATATTAGGACTCGTACAAATACGGCACAACTCGAAAATACTCAGCGATACTACATACCAAAACGTCTAGTAAGATTTATATATTTGCACTCGATTCGCGCCTTATTTGTACTCTACTCTAGATCTAATATTGTTGTTATCCAGTTTTTTCATTCGAGATGCTTTCTGTATGCGTACACGTATTTGTGGTATACTCGTTCATCGTCTGGGATTATTTGCGAATGGACAAATGTCTCCTACACCTTGGATAGTGAAGGCATAATCGCTATCGGTCCATAGTCTGATTTTTTCAAGCGACAGTCTTTTTAGTGGAAAGGTGTTATTTTTTCAAGTTTCCATTGTTGTTGTATTGACTTTTTTGGATGAATGATATGGTTAACTTGTGAGCAGAAAGGACGTCTACAAACTGATTTACCGCTAGTGGCAGGATGAGATCGCAACCAGTGGTTTTGTTAGGTCTCGCACATATTTGCAATTGGTCTTTGATGATTTTGGTCATTGTCTTAGAAGATAATATGAACGTTGTAAGCATTCTCACGCAAAGGTACATATGATTTTATGATCTTCCAGAACTTCTTCTGATTTCCGTGTTTTCGTTGGCAGATTCGTTCGGAGTGAGCTTTCAAAGCATTTCTCCTCATAGTGAAGACCTTAATTCGCTGATTTTAATGATTTTAAAGTTAATGCTCTCAATCTTTCCATCCTCTTACAATTTATAAACTATACATATGCACGATCCTCGCAGTAGATAGCGCTATTAAAGCAATAGCGAAAATCAGACCTGAAAAATTATCAGGCCTGTACGGGATTCGAACCACTGACCGTACAGGCCTGATTTTTTTTTCAGGTCTGATTTTCGCTATTGCTTTAATAGCGCTATCTACTGCGAGGATCGTGCATATGTATCTAATACCGCAGTACAAAATATATGAACTTCATATATTTCATTGTATCTAATTTATAAACTATTTAGTCTCCTTTATTTTTCTCTTGTTGTATCTTACTGTTGGTATTGTTGATTTCTCATAGACTGGCCTGCCTCGACTAACATTTGGTTAACCGCCGGCCAGGTAAAATTTCAAATAATTCAAAAAGGAAACTTAAACAAAAGACTGTTGATGTTGTCCATCGAAAACGAAGCTTTAAGAAAACGCTCTTCAAATTGGTTTGAGTTTCAATGTGGACGGGAAACAACTGAAAAAACGGAGCCATTTATCGCCTCGCTGTTATTTATAGTTTTTGGCGAGATAATTAGACCCTTGTTAGACGCATGTCTAAGGTTCCAATCATAATGAATAAAGGCTGATAGTTTCTAAAGAAAGTGTTTGGGGCTGCGTCGGTGGGGGTAACCAAATAATTTGGATATATCAACAAAGCTGAAATGGTAAATTGGCCACCGTAACGATTACAACAGCTGACGTTTCGAGCGTTAGCCCTTCGTCAGAGCGAAGAGAGGAATTGTGGGTTGTGTGTGCTTTTAAAGGCAGAAAATGGAGCTACGTTATTGGTGGGAACATGGCAACGAGAAAAACAGGAATAAATTAGTGGAATGAAAAGCGTTCGTTGATCCCTGTGGGATTTAGACTGCCGGTTTGAAAGATGAGCTTTTGTTCAAGAGTTTTACGACTTTCCGTGCTACCTAAGTGTAAGTAAAGACCGCAGATTGCCATATGTGGCTTAGAATGATTAGGTAGCTTTTTCTGTCCTAGTGTGGACAGAAAAGCTTCATCCGTTTTCCAGTGTTATATATCGACTCGAAAAAATCATCAGTCATATTGGTAACCGGGGAATTAGCTCAAGTGGTAGAGCGCCCGCTAAGCATGCGGGAGGTACTGGGATCGATACCCGGATTCTCCATTGTTTTTCATTTCACTTCCTACATATTTTATTTGTTTCCTATATTTTGACGCTCAATCGTCAGCCCCGTGTTTGTAATGCGTCATATGATTTCAAGAGTTCGATTAAGCAAAATTGACTGGCTGTTGACCAAACGTTAGAGAAATTGAACAGTTCGCACCTTTGCACCACTTTTTTAAATGATTATCCCCAATAGCTCATTTCTTCCAATATTTATAATATGGATTAACCTTATCATAAGTCTTTCTTTTTCAGTGTCGGATTTACATGTAGCGCCGACGACAGATGTAGCTATGGCTCAGGCAAAAACAGTGGGATACGCATTGAATACAGCGTCTTTCATATTTATTTCCTCTGGAGGATTTTACGTTTTGCAAGTTGTTGTCATCAGTGTGAATTGTAGTAGATTCCGGTACTGCCTTCCGTATCAGCTCAAATTAAAGCTTATTGAGCCAGCGAAATTTATCACATCGGTACCGCGTGAACTATGGGATGAAGGCGCGCGGAAAAGCGCTCACACGGTGGTGACTGTCGCACCGACTTAATTAATCTTATCTTTAGCTGGTAATAGGTGTGCTTGGTCCGTTATCTGGTCCGTTAGCTCAGTCGGTAGAGCGTGGTGCTGATAACGCCAAGGTCGTGAGTTCAACCCTCACACGGACCAAATTCCAGTAAACTATATTTTTCCCCGAATCCTTTTACTGTTTTTCTATATTTCATTTTCAGCAGAGAAAAAAGTTTTTGAGTTTTAACACCAAGTTCTCTTAAGCCTGACCCTGATTTAGATTTCATTTTTCAACATCATTTTCATACCCTCCTTCTACTTTTCCAGACTTGGATGAAGCCAAGATCAGCTTGAATGAGATAGTTTTGGAACTCCTCTTTCTCACGCATCTGGACTTAATCAGACGAAATCATTGGGACGCCCTTGCGATTCCCTTGAAAATCGATCCAGTACTAAGACTGTAGTGGTCAAAATCCATACTCATTTTAAGTCCAAATTAAAATGGCGTAGAAGCCTTTTGGGGCGGCACATATCTTAATACTGAGCTAGCATAGAAAAATGTTCTTCAACACCTTCCGCATCAAAGTTCTTCCTCAAGAAAATATGTCAGACAAAGTTAATTTCGTACAATTTCGGTTTGGCTAACTTTTAGACGAGTGTCATAGTTAAGACCGTCATTTAGCCGTACCTATTTCAACGGTCTAAACCTCGATTATCCGCTTATAGTTTTTCAACTGGTTTGTTGGTATTTTAAGGGCTTTTTTATTCTCAGATGGAAACGTGAGAGAAAGCAGATAAACAAAGGTCTCGGTAAAAGGAGGGAATGTTTACAAATTATTGAGCATTCACTACAAAAAATGGTTTAAAGAAGGCATCAGAAGGGGAATTAGCTCAGTTGGTAGAGCGCCCGCTTTGCATGCGGGAGGTACCGGGATCGATACCCGGATACTCCAAGAGGATCATATATACTTCAGTCTATATTCTAGTATTCTTTTTCTCTTCAGTGAAGTCGAGCTCACCCAACGATAAAACCCGACAAAGAAATAAAGACCGCATGTACCGTGTATGCAACAAAGAGAGCGTTCATCTCAGTAATGGTTTACAAAGTTTCACCGTTTCATACAATCAATTGAAACAGGTTTTTTTTTTAAGGAAGAAAAGTCAGCTTAAGAAAGCTAAAGAAGATTATTTTGTGATATGAAATTATTGGAAAACAAATTTGGCTGGCTACTGAGGTTCAAGTAAGGAAATAAGCTCAAGTGATGGAGCTACCACTCAGTATGCGGCAAACACCTAGATTCTAAACAGAGTTTTATTTTGGAGTAGGTCATCACGTATGCTTTTCCGGTATTTTTTAATTGTTCGGAGTAATTTATCTACCGGCTAAAACCTCTTTGGAATGCCAAAAAAGAATCTGGAATGAACTAACTAGTACAAAATTAAATAATTTGGATATATCAACAAAGTTAAAATGGTAAATTGGCCACCGTAACGATTACAAAAGCTGACGAAACGTCCACGTCCGTGGTGGTTTTGTCTAAATTTTCAGGCAGACCGCCTCCATAAGAGTATTGACGCTTATCAATACAAATGTGGTATCGTCAAGGCATATAAAAAGAGAAAAGGCCTTGCTTCCGGTTCTTGTTCGCCGCTAAAACACGACGGACAATTAAAATACTTAAGGGGTGAGGGCGAGCTAAGTGCAAAAATAAAATATTCGCGAAAGGGAAAATTGAATGAAAAAAAATCCATGCACGCCAATTAACCCTGAAAAATATCCATGCTATAGCCAAAAAAATTCATACGAGAAATGATAACGAAAAAAATAGCCGCATTTTGCAATCTCCCAAAGCAAAGGCTATAATTAATTATCAACACTTACCGCTCCGGTGATAGTGCGCCATGAGATCGAAATTAAGCCGACTTCCATGAACGACAACCGTGAGACCCCCATAGTTTATAATCCTGGTACCGAGACGACCTTCGCAAACGGTAAGTATCAACTTCCAACTGATAGAGATCAAGATCCCCAAGAAAAGGTAGTTTGGTAAATATAGAATGCTGGAATTCGAAACCGGAATACTCGGAATACCCGGAATTCTCGGAATGACCAAAAAATAATACAATTTAAAAAAATAAAAGTAAATTAATAAATAAATAAGAATATTGATGATTAAAATTAATGGTAAGTTCGCAACTAAATTAAATGATTTAATACGGAATTTTTCTCTGAGGGTCTCAAAAAAAGAAAACACTTACCGGCACTGTTCATGGAGATGCACGTATTAGAATTAAATAAAGGTCTGCGTCGGGCCAGTAGCCCACACAGCCTAAGAGACGAAATATTTCTACCCTCCCTTCCCCCTGGATGGGATGCTAGATGGCTACTCCCCGTTTTAAATTCGCCTCCACCCATTTACACACCTGTAGGATGTCTTGGGCGCCATGACCATTAGGCCGCCACGCTTTTCCAGCCGAAACCATCGCAGAAGATTAAACAAATGCAACATTTCCAATTAGTTTAATAGTTCAATTGTAAAAAGCTCCGAACTAAAACAAATTAATACTCTACCTTAAATAATTATTAACCACACCGTCATTGGGAACTATCAAGGCAGCTACCATTAAGACCAGCCGTCTACAGTTAAATGAAATTGAGAAATCGTCAGTTACTCGACACCTTTTCGCGTCTATCATAAATAACTCGAATATATACCTTTGAATATAAACCTTGTTTAGAAGAATCCATCAGTACAAGATATATATTTAAGGTAGAGTATTCACTTGTAATAGTTCGGAGATTTTTAAACTAATTGGAAATATTGCATTTGTTTAATCTTCTGCAATGGTTCCGGCTGGAAAAGCGTGCAGGCCTAATGGTTATGGCGCCCTGGCTAGACATCCTATAGGTGTGTAAATGGGTGGAGGCGAATTTAAAACGGGGAGTAACCATGTGATGGACTAGCATCCCATCCAGGGGGAAGGGAAAGTATAAATATTTCGTCGCTTAGGCTGTATGGGCTACTGGCCTGACGCAGACTTTTTTTAATTCTAATACGTGCATCTCCACGAACAGTGCCGGTAAGTGTTTTTTTTCGGGACCCCCAGAGAAAATTTTCGTATTAAATTATTTAATTAAGTTGTGAATTTACCATTCATTTTTAATCATCAATGTTATTATTTATTTCTTTATTTATTTACTTTTATTCATTTTTTTAATTTGTTATTTTTCGGTCATTCCGGGAATTGCGAGTATTCCGGTTCCAGTTCCGGTTCCGAATTCTGGCATTCCCATATTTTCCAAACTACCCAAGAAAAAATACGAACCTTCTACGAACTCAGTTGAGAAATGTCAACGCGACTGCCTCTTTCGACTCTGAGTTTCCTTCCTGTGAGATTACACTACAGCAAACAAGTGACATGTTTGAAAGATGACCTTTCACAGATCACGATCATTTCAATTTTATCACTATAAATTTGTGAGCCAATGAAAACCGAGGTGTCCACGTTGTTTTCAATTTAACACTGAATTTTATTCCGCTGTAAAACTCACCCACCGAGACTTTTCCTTCTTGCAAAATCGAACAGTCCAAGTATTGAAGAAGGCACTGATTATAATCACAAAACAAACATCCCCAAGTAGGAGCGTGACTACGTTACTATACCGTAGACCGACATTATTGAACGCATCGGATGCCACGTACTCAAAAAAGTGGACAGAATGGATAAGAGAAGGGAAACTACAAATTCAAGAGATACCATTGGAGCACATTATAATGAAAGTGGAATTGGAAACCAAAACCAAGAAAATGAAAAAGGAAACCATAAAAAAGTTCAAAGAGATTTACGGCAAAAAAGATAAAACAACATGAGTAAATTGCCATAGAAAATAGTACTTTCCTTTATCTCTTGTCTTTACGGCAAAGACATTTGTTGAACTCCGGGTTGATGAGTATGACGTGCATGAACTTAACATCAAAGCTAGAGTAAGAACTCTTCCACAGAGCCTTTACATAAGAATCATCCAGATTACACATCTGAACAAGTATTATTTGTGCAATCTGATTTCGCTGTAAAAATTTAGGTATCCGTCACTCGTGTTGAAAGCCTCGATAGAGGCGATAGGTTTTCAGCAGTCTTTGCTCCTGTATGCTTGACTCAGGCTTTATCAGTTGCTGCTGAGCTTGTTGACAAAGGCTTGCAGGGCTCGAAATTAAAAAAAGTTCCAAGTCGCCTTTTGACGACTATCAGAGAAAAAATGGTCGCCAAATGCAAAAATGCAGTCGCCAGATAGTGCGGTTGTGGGATAGACCGAAATACTCGATCTTGAATGACTTAAAACATGAAAACACAAAAGGAGAAACTCGGAGAGACTTTTGCATGACAATCTCACCTTAAGCAGTAAGCGAAAAAAGTAAAAAGAACATTTCAGGGTTACTTTAGGAAAGAGAATCTGTTACATCGCATGCAAGAGATCGTAAGATACGAATGCATCAAACATTTATCAAACATTTATCAAACATGGCGGATAGCCATTTAGTACCGGACCTCCTGATCTCAATGTAAATCCGCTGGTCGGATTACGCTGATTTTCTAGAGCGTGTTTTCGCTGGAAAATTAATTACTCGTGAACTCAGGCCGGGATTCCAGGATTTTTGGCTTGTTTTGTTTGTTTTAGTTTTTCACGGGAAATTGACAACACAATCAACAGTTGGTTCATAGAGAAAAACGAATGTCAGGTTTCAGGTTTTTTTAATGTTCTCAATTGTTCATAGTCGCCAAAATGGCGACTAAAATCGAATTTTCAGTCGCCAAGTTAAAAGTTTGAGTCGCATTAGTACGCAAGAGGTCAAGGCGAATCTTTTAACTTGGCCAGGAATGTACCAAATACATAGCCTCTTTCGTGACAGCCGTTCAACGGATCGCATTACATTTTTTGTCATTTTAGCCCGAACTCTTTTCAAGCTAGACGCGCCGCCTATGGCGGGCCTAGAAAGAAACTTAGAGGAATTAGACTACAAAGATAAAGCTTTAAGATGATATATATTTTGATTTGTAAATATATCATACAAGACCTTTTTAAAGGCCTTTCAATGCGTCGTGACAGCTGTTCAGTGGTTCGCATCGCATTTTTGACAAAATAGCCCACACTCTTGTAAACCTGGAAGAGCCGCTTCTAGTGGGTCAAGGTAGAGAATTGGAGGAATTAAAATACAAGGATAAAGCTTTACGATGATGTGCATTAGGATTTGTAAGTACATGTATATATGGCAGACCTGTTCGTAGGTCACTGAAGTTGACCTTCATTTACCTCTGCGAAAGAGACGCGGGGTACTTTATTTCAACGGGTTACTATTCAGACTGAAACGTAACAAAATAACAAGAAATTAATATTTTCTAAGAGAAAAACGGACCATCTGCCAGCAAACCAAATTTAAAAGCGACATTGCATCGCGTTATAGCGTACGAAGTTGCCGAAGTTGCATAATTTTTCATTACTGTACGGGGGGGACAACGGTCGTTTAAGGTCGGCACACACGAGGGGACTAGTCCCTGCGACTAGTCCGTGCAACTAGTCCCGGCGACAAGTCTTTGAAGGGTTTACACGAGGGGACCGGTAGCAGGGACTAGTCCCTTAAGGCGTTCACACGAGGGCAATCAATTGCACACGAACATAGGAAAATTAAGAGGCAAAAGATGTTTCTTAGTCTGGGGCGTCACACGAAAACAATGAAAATTTCGTAACTTTTCATTGTAGCACTATTAAACATCAACGCAAATAAACTACACTTACTCAGTCGGATTATTCATGCTTTTACGTGTTCCGTTTTTGTTTTTGTTTCTTATTTTTAACAGACGCAGAGTCAAATAATTCCATCAAAACGGCTCCAAGACATCTGTATATGTTTACAAAACTAGAAATAGCTTTTTATTCAGAACTTCAGTTGTAGAAATCTAGAATTCAGGGAAAATTCATAGAAACTGCAATGTTTACAAATCATACTGACCCGTGATTGGCTTATTTACCGTTTAGTCGCAGGGACTGGTCGCACAAACAGTTCGCACGAAGAGACAAACATTAGTTTCATGCGACAAGTCCTTGCGACTGGTCACAGGGACCAAATTTTGGTCCTTGCGACCACAGAAATGTGTAGTTCACACGAAGGGACTAGTCACATGAAACTGGTCGCTGGGACTAGTCGCAGGGACTAGTCCCCTCGTGTGTGCCGACCTTTAAGTTTTTCCTGTCATGTTTTGCTTCCTTAGACCTGATCTTCACCCCCCTTCTCTACTTACACGTGTTTCAATCAATGTATGAAATGCTGTTCAGTACTTATAATTGTTTTCTCTTTGGTTTCTGTTGCACTTTGTTTCACAGAAAAATCAAGTAACAGTGGGACAACTGTTAAATTCTGTGTAAGTGTCTTGGGGCTGATTCTGGGAGCAGGCAAGAGGAAGTAAACACTGCTTTTGATTAACTATCCAAATGCTTTTCATTCTTTGCAATCTCGGGACAAACTTTTGTTGTTACAAGAAAGCATTTTCAGAGAGTTTTCACAGCAAAAGAGTCACAAACACATCTTGTGATGGTCAAAACAAAGAAAACTATAACAATTATTCAGTGTCAATTGTATTTAGCACTGTCATCTGGCGATTCTTTGACTAAGTAAGTTAGGTTGAGATAGCTGGATATGCCATCATCTCAGTCCAGAAAGATACATAAAAGAACCTGACTGATGATGTACTATAATGGTCAGTAATGCTTCTTGATTTCCAAAAAGGTCAAAAGTAATGTTGTTTTCAGGTTGTTCAAGGAACTGACAGTATGGTCAAGAATGGCATCACAACTACAATCAGCGTCAAACATCAATGCATCACTGTGATGTCAAATTATGATAAAAAGAGCTTAGAGGTGAGTTACAAAGACACAATATTGAATGCTATTCTTATGAAATCTTGAACACAATTTGTTGGAAAAAAAAGCTGAGCAACAGACTGAAAAAAATGATCGCATGATTTATCGTCATTCATTTGATTCAGATATTTCAAGTTAGCGGGAAAAAAGGTCAAGAACAGGTTTATTATTGTTGACTCATAACTTGAAGAAGTGGTATGGGCGTCTTCACTGAAAACGCTTTAATTTCTGAGGCTTTACTAATGAGCAAATGAAGTTAAGTATCATAAAGGGTAAAAATGGACTTTTCCGATTGTTTGATGCTGCTCTGGAACGTGGTCTTAACTCAGTGTTACAATGGTTCCACCATTTTGCAGTAACTGACCGACTCCTCCGGCTTAAGAAGTCATTGAAATAGAGTGATAGTGTGTCTCCCTCTTAATTTCACTTAAAATGGTGCTTGAAACTGACCATTCGGGAATCAGATTGTATCTTATTTTCAAGATCTTCACGATGAGTCGAATGACCTTTGATGAAATAATTTGATGAAATAACGTAAAAGCTATCATAGCTTATCTTGAGGATGTCGATTAAAATTAATAGTTTTATCTATCCTACCAAAATTCCAAATCGAGTAACAAATATTATTGTCGGCAATTTGACGAAGTTGTCGGCGAGCTGACGAAGGTAAGCTGGCTAGTAATGTCGCTGAGTTGACTAGTCGCGAAGTGATCAGTAACGCCGATGGCGTATCCCCTTGTTAGCTATCCTCAACCGTCTGTTGACTTTTTTGTTCTTAACTTTTAAGCTCTGTTTACAAAAAAAAATGAATACAGAAAGTATTTGATTTTTATGTCGATTGTCATTTTAATTTTTGTTTGTCATCAGTCACGAAAAGCTTTGATTGAAGCTCTGCTTTTTCCATAGGAACTCAGGTTAGAAGATTATATACTTCAGGGGCGCGTGCAAAGACCCAAAAGTAGGTGTTGGGATCCTCAGTATTATGGTCTCATTGATTTTTGTCTCGGTTGTTGTTTGCTCATGTAATATTTACTTATTGTTTTTTTCCGAGAAAAGTCTCTAGGGTAGCAAGC